GTGTGTGTGTGTGTGTATCTTTTTATCACGTTTTCTTTACTTTTCTTCACAAGCAATACGTCTTACACAATATATCGTGTAAGATGTAACATTAGGAAGAGAATCGAAGTGAGGGGAGGGCGATGAACAAAGAAACACAAAAGTGATGAGGCGGAAACGGATGGACTCTGCTGAATTCTTAATTTTAACATGGACACTTTGAACCTCTTCGTCGACTCGTATTCGTACCCTACGTATTTATATGTGCTGTTTGACAGTCAATGCTAAACGAAGTCACACGCGTGAATAAATACAAAATGAGATCGCTATGTTTAATGCAAACAATATACGAATACAGAAAGCTCTTCGAAGTAAATGTAATTTCTCAGCATTGCTCATTTGAGCATGCAAACATCTTATTCTCTTTCCTTCCCCATCATTCTTCCACTCCGCATATTTGCGCGTACAATGTTACGTGTAATCAACGTCCATTCTTCCCCTCCCTCCACACATATACATACACACGCACACATCTTCTATAAACATGAGATATACACACACAGTTAGGAAAATGAAACTTCGGTAATGTTCATCGACATTTATTTTCTTTCCGTATATGCTGAGATCAATTTAATATCATTTCGCCAAAAGAAAGAAAAATAAGGAAAAACGATTGCCGGTGAGAGCCGATGAACAGACCCGATGGCGTAATTAAATTGCACGCCTTTATATTCTCAGTTATTATTATCGTACAAAAGGGAAGGACACGAGATTTTGTCACGGGGTGAGGAGATGTCGGTTATTAAATAGCGAATTCATTTTTCGCGTTCATTTCCGAGCTTGGTACATGAAACTCATATATCTCTCATTTCCTTGAAACGCATGATTACAAATAACAATAACGGTAATGTAAACTATGACGATGTATAATCCATCACGCACGTGACGCACTTGTACAATACGCCAGATCGATGTTAACAAAATACAAATACTGCTCGGAAACTCGCAATTGTACTTTTTACATCTTATTAACTAGCACAACCAAACGAATTGTCCCTAAAAACCGGACATATTCCTCGTCACTTCCTTGGCGCGCCAGTTGTACTACGTTCTGTATGATCGTTTAATTACAGCTTTTTAGCAAAATGATTTCGATGTCCTGTCATCGTGTAATAAATCGACGTGAGATTACTTCAGCTCATGGAACAAGAAAGAGAAAGAAACGTTACTCAAAACATAACTCATACATTTGAATTTCAAATGCAAGCTTTGTGATTTTTTTTCGCTATTTTTTTAGATATATGTTCCCCGAATTTTAGCCTATTTTATTATCAACTCGACTAGAGCAATTCCAGTTTAGGACATGAACCATGTTGCATTTCAGCGATGCCATATACGCATAATTTTAAAATATTATTTCAAAATCATACTTACTGGCATTTCTTCGCGATTTACACTTGTTTCTCTCGATATTAATAGAGCTATATCTTGTTTGTATCTGTTGAAAACGTTATTTTTATTTTATGCAAAAGTTCGTGATAACTTTACACATGTCAGTTTTTCGATTATCGATGCATCCAATCTATATACACGTTGCGACTTATATAAATATTCTACATTTATACAAATGTATTCACTCCGATGGCGAATACGACAATAGCGCGGAATTACGTTAATTCTTGCAGCTGCCTCATCAAAATCGGATAATAATCTCGGCAAATTAATTTTATTAACAGATTACATTAACAGATACTATAAATCTTCAAAATTAACTTACGTAACATTAAACAAATACAAGCTTTCAAGAATTAAGAGATACACAAACTTACAAATAAAAGAATATGTATATCGCTACAATAAAAAGAAAATTTATGTGTAGATATGTGATATATATGGAATATTACAATATATTCTCATTTTCTTTTTGATATATCATCGCAATCTTGGATTACAATACTTTGATACTTGGTTAAAAACTGTTGACTCGATTTACAAATAATCGCTTACAAATTATTATCAAATAAACATGTTTATCTTATTTGTACTGAAATATTTAGTTATTTTAGATACTATTACAACAGCGGATTGAATTCAGAGGAAGCAAAGGCCAATTTGACCATTTGTCATGGATTACGGAAATTGGGAATGGTTTTTAAAATACATTTATACTATTTTGTATATTAGAACAACTGCGAGAATCCATCATCGAAATCGCGTACTGTACATTTATGATTCGTCAGAAAAAGAAAAAAAAATGGATTACGTGTTTTGTCGTCCTGCGCGCAAGGACGCAAGAGGTTCGGCGATCCTTAAACGTTCTCAACGTTACCGTTGAAGAATGTTTTCCAGATGAGATTCACTCCGATCGCAAGAGAGTTTCGGTATATCCAAGCAGAATCGGCTCGCTATCGAATTTCCTGAGAATCCTGCATACCGTAATAAGGGCTGCGTCGTTGCATCTTGAAGACGCGGTAAGCGTTGTCTGCCACGTTTCATATAAGAGTTCACCACAACACTACGCTTTCATTTCTTCAACACGTACTGCGAGAACAAATAACATGTTCTTTTCTCCATGTTCTTTCATTTCATTTCTAGTTCATTAGCATAGAACGATCGCAAATATTTTCATTGTCACTTTCATAGATGTCATAACGGGCATTATCGTCGATAAGCGCTGTGATCTCATCATTCATGATCTTGACGACGTCATGACACAAAAAAATTGATTATCGTTCGGATACACACGATATCACGCGCGGATTTACTTCCGGTTTGCAATAGCTAGAAAAGCATCATGCAGATAGCGGTAATTGCTGGTTGTCGCTCCCGATAAACGACGCTGTTGGTTACGATGATGACGATGAAGATAATGATGATGATGATGATGATGATGATGATAATGATGATAATGATGATGATAACGATGATAGTGATGATGACGATGATGATGATGATTCCGCTATTGATGCTGCTGATTCACTTGTTGTGTTGTACGCTTGCTCGTCTGACCATCAGGGTGGGTGGGGCGATTGACGTCGCATTGGCGCTTCCAAAACAAAAGACACACAAAACAGCGACATTAGCGCGCCACCGTCTTCATCACATAAACGAGCTAAAAGTTTTTCTTTCTTTACCCCTCCCTCTCTCTCCCCTTTTCTAGCGCTCCTCCTCTCGTTCGTTACAGCCTCCTTAGTTTTGTTTTTATGATTTTTTATTTAATTCATTAATAATTTCATAATGTGAAATCTAATAATCAACTCAATTGTTAAGTAAGTATAATATAATAGGCAAATTTAATAACATTAATAATCTTTTATAAATGTAAAATAATTTTAATGAGAGTATCAATGTCAATAACGAGTTTCTGAAGAAACAAATTTCATTATAAAATATTTATTCTTTCTTTGAATATATTTCTCTTCTTCAGAAAGACATATTTTAATCTTTTTTATTAATATTTGCAATAAATACTGAAACAAGAAATGTATTGCAACAATTACTTGTATTTTTCATTTCTCACTAAAAATTATAATATTGTAAAATTCTCTTGTTTGCAAAAAGTTCTTAAAAATGCGAATTGGTTGGCAATATATTTACAAATTTATGAGGAGGAATGAACTAAGAGAGAAGGCTCGCCCAATAAAAGTTTTCTCCATGTGTGATTGGAATTTTTCATAATCGGCGTCCTTTACCGTGGCACAAGAGAGAATTTCGCTCCCTCTTTGTCTACTTTTGTCATTTAGAATTAGTGCGATAGTTTTCGGTTACCTGAAAAAAGTCAACGAAAGAACATAAAGCGGAATTTTGATGAATTTCGATACCGAATAGTTTTGCATGTTTATGCTTTAATTAGATTGCAAAATGGATATATTAGATGCTTGAAAAGAATTTAGAACATTAAAACGTGCATATTTACATGCACAAGAGAATGCCCTCACACAGCACGCATTAAATTAACATTAAAATATAAAAATGTATTATTCTTTAAAAAAAATTACATAAAATTCAGGCAATATGAAAAATAATTATGTAATTCTTGAAGTTATTTAGTGAATATTTTTCTCCTAAACATTAAAAATTATAAGCTTAAGACTCTTGTTAATTCATTGCATTATTTTGAATTAGATCAGAAAACATAATGAAAATTACTAGAATGTAATAAGTAACAAATAATATTCGGCAAGATCTTAGGCGTTTATTTCATATCATCTCATTTTCATTTTTAATTTTGAGAGAAAGAGATAATCAATATTATATTTGATTATCTCCTCGATTTATTAAAGGGAAAAATTTAGCTCTAGCTTTGAAC